TTATTCGAAAAATTACAAACAAACTGCCTGAATTACAGGCTACTACAAACAATATTGATAAATTATTCATTTTATTCAATGTATGGGAGGACATTTTTGGTTCTGTTGAAACTTAGAATTATGCTCTACTGTACGACTCATTGCTCATTCTAGTTTATTATTATTATTATTTGTATTATCAATTATTATTGTATTGTGTTCACCATGCTCTTCTTCTTCAGTCCACCAACTGTTATGTACCACCACTTTCTGACTCAGCATTGTTTCTCAGTAATCTAGACACTAGTATTTTTCAATTTGTATTGTTTATTTATATTCCACTGCATGATTTTCTTTTAAGCTCTTTCTTAAGTTGTTAAATTTTTTGGGATTCAGACTGCTTTTATTTGCATTTATCCTATAGCTGTGTATCACACCAGCTCGACAGCCTCTGGCGTCACCACCTTAACAGCTTATTTTCCCCACTTTATCCTGCAACCTTAAGCTACTAGCGCTTTTACCCGTTAATGAGTACCTTATATCTGAATTTTTAAAAATTCACTTTTAACTGGTTATTTGATATTACCATTCGTAATCTCTTAATGTTCTACAAAGGCACCCTGGTGTCACAACCACCGCTCCAGAGGGAGGCATATGCTGATGCACTCCAGGGCTCAAGGTCCTAGAATGCAGATTTCGGGGCAGGTCGTTTTTTTTACTTAAGTAATATTCAGAAAATACAGATAAGTAATATTATCATTATTAACCTTTTGAGGTCGGGGCTTTGGTAGCAGTAAAAGCCTTGAAAGGATGGGGAATCTTGAACCAAATGCTTTCCCCCCTTTAAGAAATCACCTCCTATTTGCAACAAAGATTCTTGTGTGTAGTTTAATGGATTCTCAGAAGGGTGCATCTATGTCGCAAAAGGAAGAGAAGTGTAGGGATTAGTGAGCAACTTCAAGAATGCTTTTTCTTCACTAAGGGAAAATTTCAATATACAGTTGTTCTGCCGGATTGGAAACTACTGGGAAAATGTGTAAACCTCCGTTGAAGAAATGCTATTCTTTTTTATATTATAGGATTTCTTTCGTTTTTATAATAAAATTTGGTTTGATTTTAAATACACTGCAAAACCTACGTTCTTTACTAAGTGCTTACAATAATTATTTCTATCATACCTTTGTATTAATGTTATGCCAAAAATATTTCAACTATTTGATTATTTTCTTGGACAACTTTAAATTTAACCAGTCTTCATCTCAGTCTTTTTTTTTACTGTTAAATGACCTTATAATTTTTTTTTTTTTTTTTTTTTTTGGCTATATATTATCAAATAGAGCTACATCTTGAACTTTCTTTTCTTCGCATATGAGGAATAATTAAAAATAAACGCTTAATAGCTAGAGAAATTATTAAAAAATAAAGTTCAGTGGACCTGTTACACTTATGCTCTATCGGCGTAATGAAATTTAATTTTACATAATTCAAATCTTCATATTTTACATAGTTCAAAATCTGCTTGATACATACTATTAAGGAGGAAACTTTCAGCAAATTAAATTAACGTTTTAATTAAAACTTTTATTTTATTGTAGACTTTAGTACTGCAATGTCCACTACATAAGTGCTACTAATTAAAATTCAGTTCTTTTTCAAAGATTAATGCATAATAAAACAGACACTCAAAAACTGTTTTTTTAGAATATTTTAGTTTTAAAATTGGGAAAAAAAAAAAAAAAAAAAAGATTTAATCATGTACCATTTTATATACTGTTTACTGAAAATTAGTAAGTGATATATTTCAAGTATTAATAATAGAATGAATCTAAGTCATTAAAAATGTCAAGTTATTTAGTATTCAAACCCATAATTGAAAACTTAAATTCCATTTGTCTTAAACTAAATTCCCAGCCTCACTAAGGGAACATGTTCACTCGGGTATAAAAATTTAGGTAATTTCTTAGTGCAAAGAATTTTTCAAATTGAAGGGAAAATTGTGTGTTATGCATACTGTCTGCAAAAACTGTGGGACAAAAGTTACACAATAATTAGTTGTCTTCAATACTGTATTATCATTCAATACTGTATACTCTATTCTACATAATTTAGCACATTAAGAGAAATTTCCAGGTAATTTCAGGTGCCCGGTCAGCAAAATTCTCTCCTGTTTGAAATCGTCGTCGCATGTGAATTTTCCTATTTCCTCTATTGTTTAAACCAGTTCATTTCAACTCCAAACTGTCTTTTTAGCAGCTTTGACATCAACCATGGCAGCATATTTTACATGGCGGAATTTAAATTCCACGATATATTAACGAGTATCTTTACTTGTAGCTACTCAAAAAATCTTCATTGTCAGGTCATGCGAAATCTATGATGACACAGTTGAATTAACCATTTTTCTCTTTTTTTATTGAAAATTTGGCAGTTAGTCATTGGTTTCATTAACACCTCGGTCATTATGCTGTTGTATCGAAACTATTTCATAACTGAGTGCCCAAGGTATGCCTCCAGGAATTTGTCCTTGAACGTATTTGCTGAGATATATGTCTAATGAATGACAAAGGCATTCAATCACTTAAAAGGCCAAGGTTCAGAAATTCAGATGGGCAACGTGTTATCTTAGAACAATGAATTGTATGTTACATAAGAGACTTTACATACTGTTTATATTCTCGGAGCTCAATGGACAGTGATATTTCACAAATGCTACTCTAATCCATTTTGAACATCTTACTTCAAAATTGTTTGACTGTGAAATCGAGATACTGATACAAAGGTAGCTTTTAAAATGTGCCATCTGGAATTTAATGGTTAGAGATGAGCCCCATGGAGAAACACAATGAAGAAATTCATCTTTTCTACAAAGATAAAAGCTTTCAAACTGACTGACTAGTTTTAATGTACTTACGATTTCCAGGTTTCAGACTGAAATTGTAAAAGTATTTTTGTTTCTTTGACACAAAATTTATATTTATATTCTTGTGATTTGTTTGAACAACAGTACCATCACAGTAGACTTCAGTGTGTGAAAGTCACTTAAGCATGAACAGATATATATGGAAATAAAGACAAATAGAACTGTTAAGAATGAACTGATACAAATCTAAGGGAAAAAGTGCTTGTACATGTATACAAGTACGTGGGAATTTATATTTGTTTATGGAAATGTATACTTACATATCCATGTAGTATGTCTGCATCGATATAATATGGTATAAGTGCAGATATGCACATAAAGTGGAAAGCATGTGTATCCTTAAATTGGAATTAACATATATACAGCAGACACTTACATGCACACACACAGACACACATATGCATTTTTATATATGTGTTTGCATCTGGATTTATGCTAGAATGCAAGGCTCTGTTTACAATTTACAAAAGCAGTTATCGCGAATTCTGTACCTATGTCGCTACAAGAACTAAAAGGGAAAAAATTGGGAAAAATCAGATTCTTAACACAAAGACCTCTGAAAGAGATAAGTGGTTAAAACCCAAGGGACGTCAAATTTGACATTTTACCGCACTTTTCAGCCTGAAAAATGGGGGGAAAAAGACATGGCCACAAAAAAGGACAACCCCATCCTTTCAAACAGAGGACTCTATGGCCACCATAATAGTCATCCCGTCTTCAAAAGGTTAAGAAAGATAAATTTCTCCTGCCCTCCCCAAGATATGTTAGGAAGTTTACAAATCATTTCCTAAATACAGCAAATAATATTATCCATGGAAATTCCCTTTATTTACTAATACAAAAAAATTTTTTAAATCTAATGGAATGAGGCTAATTGAAACTATAAAATATTCCAAAGGAAAAGTAATACCCCTCTAGTAAAATGTTTTGAAGATGCTGTTCACATGACGGATAAAAATTCATGACAGAAGCACTGAAAAAATAGTAAGGGGATGATTTTAATATTAAATACCTATTTTCTTCCCTAAAAATTATCAAGACTGCCAGTCATCATTAAAGTATACTTAATTAATTAGCTAATGCTAGCCAAATTTCTGCAAATTACTTAGCATTTTTTAGATTTCAAGAATCTGCATCTCATATATCTCTAATCAGAAAACTTCCAAAACTTTATCATGCAGTGAAAAATAGTTAAAATTCTGAAGTGCAAAAGTAATGCAATAATATGTCGCTGAAGTACCAATAATCAACCACTTTAATGTCCGTTTCTACATTAAGCTACTCTGGGCAAGATACTAAAAAGTGCCTGTATTTTATGGTGTTCCAATGCTTTGAAAGCACAGCTCCGATAGCTCACACAAAGATTGTGATGACATCTTAAAGCTTTTGAGCATTTTTTTTAACCAAAAATGTATATTAGTTCCGAGTACATTTCAAACATATTGATGGGCAAAACAGCCACTGTGAACAAATAATAAAAGTACTATCTAGTGGTCATCTCATTGCTATGATCAATGTAATAAAAAAAAAACAAAAAGTTTTTTGTTTTGATGGCACATCCTAAACAGAAAACTTCCAAAACTCTCCTTTACTATATTTCTTATGGCATATAACTGCTGCAAAATGAAACTTGAGGAAAAGCACCAAAAAGAAAAAGCCAAATGAAAATTCTGATAGTTTAAAGGCTCTGTAACTTTTTCCTAAACCTATATCTAAGAACGATTTCTTCTAGTTGATCATTTAGCAATGTTTTTAATTTAAATGACTATTATGGCACATCTTAAGTAGATTTTGCAGTTCAGTTCTTATTTTCACAGTGATTAAATACACATTTTCATGACAATATAAAAATTGCATTTCTTGAAATAATAATGGTATTTACAGAAATAAAAGAAAAGAATTCAAATCATTTGCTATTAGAGTTCCCAAAGATTATACACTTTAATATAAAAAGAAAGACAAAAATTGTTCTGGATTGGAAAAATCAAAAGGATTACTAGTTTATACTTCTTGATTGTGATGGCCAATTTATAAAACTGTATGTAAAAATCTTTATGCGCAGATTTTTTTTCAAGGGGGAAAATATGAACAATTAGCTTACCTTGATGTCCAGCTAGTTGCACCCAAGGATATTTTTGTTTCTTATAAGTTTGTATGAATGGAGTACAACGAACTAAGTTCCTAACTCTTTTCCAAGCAGATGGCTGAAAAGGTATATTTAATTTGTAGAAATGAAGTATCATAAAAATATAAAACAGCTCTGCTTTAACATACAGAAAACTAAAATTTAATTTACAAACCTAGATATTGTCATTTCATGAACATTTCATCACTGATGATAGATACTTCCTGAACATTCACTACTTAAGTACTTGTATATTCGAGATTAAATTGATCATACACATACACAGGATGTTTGAAAAACCTGGCTAAAGCGTTATCTAATCAATGGGCCTGATTTTAAATTGAACTGGATAAAGATCATCAGAAGGCCGAAGCACTCCTGAGCTACAGATATTCCCATACATATCTCATTCAAAATACAGTCAAAAGTTGTTAATCCAGACTCGTCGGGACTTCGTCGATTCTAGATTATCGATTTTTCCGGATTATAGATCATCAGTTTAAATCTGGTAAGATGGCATGCAGAAATTATAAAATTAAAAATATGAAACCGTAATTTATGAAATAAGAACAATTATGATCTAAAGGGTATCAAAATTTTCAAAAAAAAAAAAAAAAAAAAAGAGCTTAATATTTATTTGTTTACTTTATTAAACATTTTTTTTAATGCAAGTTGCTTCGTTTTATGTGATACTACTTTCTTTTTAATTCTATAAACAGACAATTTCTTGTTCAGTTACAAATTTCCGCTGTTGAAGTCCTATAATTGCTGTGTCGAGAATACCGACTTATCTGTCAATCGAAATTTTTTCGTTTTCAATAACCTCTGTGTCACTTTCTTCACTATCGGAAGCGAATTATAATGACCAGGAATTTGATTTAAATCATATCAAAGATGAAGTACATCGAGATGAAATATTACATTTAGTAAGGAATTATAAGCCAAATAAAAACATCTGCCCTGAAGATAAGGATACTGCTCACAGATCAACTTCCAGTTCATTGTTTCCGCCCCCCCTGCAGAGCAGCGTGAAATTGATAAACAGATTTCGGAATGGTTAGAGAAACAAAGGATATGCCTTTATCCATTTTTTGCAGCAATTCCACTTTTTGTGTGAGGGACATCAAAACATACATTCACTCCAGCTTCCTTTGGGAGCTTCAGCATCGGAAATTCTATTTGACATAATCAAAAGTTCAAGCTTACTTTTATAAAATTTGCTCTAACAGTCTGCGAAAAATAATAAGCCGGATCCAATTAGAAGATTAAGGAACAACGTAATCTGCAACATTAACTGAAATAGATTAGATAATTTTAGCTTATACCGTACGTTATACATTAAACGTGCATGCGTAAATGTATTATGCGCACACGCATATGTGCGGCCATAAAGGTCTTACGCGCATGGCATAAACGTCTATGCGCATGCGCCAAGGCGACGCATGCACAGAAAGTTTGTAGCTTTGAGGTCCGGATTATGGGTGTCTGAATTAATGAATTTTGACTGTATATTTAATGACAAACCATAAAATAACACTTTTCTCAAATGAAACAAAATCTGAAATATGAAGAAAAATATTTGTTTTCACCATATTGGCCAATTTATAATTAGTCTCTCATTTATATTTAATTTTTTTTCCTCTGTATTTTCTTTCTAATTGCAGAGTTACTGATCATACCCTTGAAACACACTTCTTCTCTACTTAGCAGAGGTTCAGCTGTAAGACTTTTATTTATTTTTTTTTTTAAATAGATAATTCAAATACTGAGTTCAGCTAAATAGTGCCTAATCATTAATATTTAAAATATGCAAATGGATGCTGACATTTGAGAAGGCCACTTTCCATATTAGCTTATACAGTTACAGTAGAATTATAATAACATGAACTCCTTGGGATCAAGGATTATGTAAATTAGAGGACTTTGAGCAAGTATGATGGATTTCCATTGCCAGAATTTTCAAAATTTGAAATGCTGCCCACTATAAATAAATCAATAAAATAAATGAAATGAAAAATATTAAAAATTACTGTTCTACTAAGATCCAAATCTGCTTTCTTTTCATCAGAAAGCAAAACCATGTTCAGTTATGTACAAATAACAGCTGTAACTGATGATGGTCAACCTGACAACACAGCCCGCCCCCCTTCCCAAAAGGAAAATGTTTTAATAAAATATTGTTTCTCCTTTAGGTGTCTGACTAAATTTTTGCTAATGAAACAAGAAAATTAATATTTCTACGATGAGTTGACTGTATTTTTATCTTATTCAATTCAGCATTACTAACAGGAGATTTTTATACTGCAAGCTCCTTCAGGAAAACTAACAGAGAACATCAAAGAGCCACCCTAATGCAGGATTTTGTTTCCTGAAATTATCTAACCATCCAAAACAATCACTACTCCCCTCCAGCTTTCAAAACCACTCGTGCATGCGGACGGCCAAATCTCAAAATAGTAAATACAAGCTTCCTAATAACTGACTGACAAGTGCAAGATATTTTGCTACCAGATTAAAACTTATAGACAATGCTTTCCTACAATTTTTAAAATTAAGCACTGCAAAACATTCCACTGTTGTCCATCCCACGTTTGCTCCAACCAAATGCCTAGAGCCACAAAAATGGGAATCTTATTTAGTCCCAAGACACTAGCAAATTAAGACTTTATCTATGCAACCTTGCCTCTCAGATTATTAGTATCTGAAGGGTTAAATGGAAAACATAATACAGTGCCACATCTAGATAGACGAGAGACAGCTGGGCACAAGACTCAGTGCTCTTTGATGCAAAGTTCAAGCAACATAAGGCAACTATCAGAAGAGCATTTGAATATAAAACTTCTGACAGCCAAGAATCAAAAATAAATTCTAAATGAAAACTGGTCTACTAAAAGACTTTCTGCAGCAAATACAATAGCTACAATAATTTCTATACCTCCCTCAGAAGCAGTAGGTAGCACAGAAAATCTTCAATTTTATTTTGAAAGACGATATTGAAAACAAACAGCAAATGTGTACAGAATATTTCACACCTGCAAATGGAAGGCTGTATTAGGAAAAGGACAGTTTTCAAACCTTGCTGAAATACTAGGGAACATTTTTAGCATACTGATCAAATGGCAACGGGACCCTCTATACTGATAATTCTATTATTAAAGAATTTAATCAAGCATTTCCAAAGTTACTCACAGCACTTTTTGCTGTATACTGAAGACTATCACTTTCCATCAAATAATAAAACAGTAGGACTTACACACTTTCTTAAATATGAGAAAGATCCTGCCACAACAGTAGTTTATAAACTTATTACTTATAGCAAATGAAGTCCTAGAAAAGCTTGCATTGGGCCATTCGAAAAATTCTGTGATGGTAAATTTTTATGCAGCAGTATGGAAACAGAAAATTTTATTGAATAACTTAAGCACCCTTTTATTCAATAACATTTTACCATCCTTCCAACAGTAGAAAAATTCCTTTTTCAAAGAAATCTGTAGATTTATTTGCAAAGAAGTTAGATATGTTTCATAGCCCCAACAGCTATGAAATAGCTATTCAGAGAATTTTGAAGCGACTTGGAACAGATAAAAGATCTGACATGGCAAAGCCAAGGGAATATGGGAAGTAAGCCAGAGCTAGACCCAGTAAATCTGTCTAACATTCATTAAAAATTGAGAATTGTTGCTATGAAACACATACTTCAATGACTGCATTTTGTTACAACAATGCTTGCAATAAAATACAGCACCTCCATCAGCTGTCAAGGTTGTTATATATGTAACTGTATCTATTATTATCTTTAATCATAACTGTAATATAGAATAGTGGATGAGCAATGTAGAATAAACTATGTTTGTGAACATCTGGTAATAATCATCACTGAGCACATACCCAACATATATAAAATACAACACATGGCACAGCCCGTTGTTGATTCGCTGGTAAGTGCGTTGTTTATTTTTATTGGAAGTGGCTAAAAATACTGATATATAAACTATTTAAAGTCCTAATTAAATACGGATGGATTAAAGCCACCAAGTAATCAAGTTTCGAAGAAATTCAAGCGAAAATTGCAAGAAATGGAAACAATTCCAAATTTATAGTTAGCGTCTGGTGGTATTACTAAATCACCTGAAATTAAAGTAGCTATTTTATTGCACATTATTGGTGAAGAAGTACTTGAAAAGTTTAATACTTTTAATTTAAGTGAAGAAGATAAGAAGGATGTTGACAAAGTAATTGAAGCTTTCGAAAATTTTTGCATACTGAAAGCAAACGAAAGTGTTGATAGACATATATTTTTCTGTCAAACACAACATGTAGGTGAATCGTTTGATGATTTTTTAACTGATTTTAAGAAATTAAGTAGCAACTGTGGATTGGAGAATTAAAAGATTTAATAAGAGATAGAATAGTAGTGGAATTCTAAATAAATCTCAAAGATAGATTATTAAGGGAAGATTATTTAACATTGCAGAAATGTATTAAAATGTGTAAAGCTTCTGAATTAGCAGAACTTCAGCTGAAAACTTTAACTGAAGAAATAAAATAGAAGCGATCAAACGTAATAAATTTCGACCTTCAGAGGAAAAAAGTCAGCCTTGTAAGAGAAACTATCATGTAAAAACAAAAGCAACAAAGTACTAAATCTTCTTCAAAACTATCAAGGAAATAAGTACAAATATCCAAAACCATGTAGAAATGTGGAATTTTTCATAAGTTATACAACTGTCCTGCTTATAATAGAGATTTGCTTGTACTGTAAAAAGAAAAATCACTTTTCTAAAATGTGCACTTTATAAAATGTTAATGTTGTACAGAATAATTTAGAGCATGAGTTACATAATAATGGTAATGAATATATTTTAGGGTCAGTTGAAGATACAAATCCATTTTCTAAAAATAAAACCGAATGGTTTGAAAAACTAAAAATAAACATATCTAAATATTCATTTGTTAAATTGGATACTGGAGCTCAGTGTAATGTGTTACCATTGCCTAAATTTAAACAATTAAATTTAAGAGATAAATGTCTGACTGAATCAAAAGTCACTTTAAATAATTACAATGGTACTACAATTG